GGCTCTGCGGCTCTGGGAGGAGGAAGGTAGGCGGGGCGGGAGTCCAGGCCGCGGGGCGCCCCTGACCGGCCGGAAGGGGCCTTCCCTTTCGAGTGGGCTGCGAGGAGGCATGCTTGCGGAACTTCAGTTTGCCTCGTTTGTGACGCCTCCCCATTGGCAACGCGCCAGCTCGCGGCCGGGGTCGGGAACCTAGCAAACGCTGCGGAAGCCGCCCCCAGGCCGCATTCCCTCGGGAGAGTGCTTTGTACATGTGCACACCTGATGGCCAGTGCCCAGCCCACAGGCGTATTGACAGGGGACCCCTTGCACACTTGCATGTGCTCTTACACACCAGCGCTGGCGCTCTCCTGGCCTCTCGGCCTAGAGGTGAGGCAGGTGCTCCTGGAGGGGAGCCTGCCCAGCCCCCCACCCCGGCTAGGAGGAGTGGGAGGAGGGGCACGGGCAAATCGGAGCAGTCAGACTCCAAGTTTTCTCAAGGCTCAGGTCGGGAATGAGCCCAGGGGGACATCATCGGAATCTCTGATGGGTCAGGTGAAAGTCACGTTTGGATGGGGTCCTGGCCCAGATGAGATCAGAATGTTTTTTGGAAATTGATGTTCGGTGGCTGTCAGGCAGGAGTCAGTCCCCCGCACAAGTCTGGCTTGCTCTAAAGTGAAGGGGTGGTTGTGTGGCAGGCCTTAGGCATCTTCTCATGGCACCCTGTGTCCCCAGGTTTCCACCAGATCGCCCTGAACAAAGTGGCCGTGCTGCTGCTGGCTGGCGGGCAGGGCACTCGCCTGGGTGTGACCTACCCCAAGGGCATGTATCGGGTGGGGCTGCCCAGCCAGAAGAGTCTGTATCAGCTGCAAGCCGAGCGGATTCGGAGGGTGCAGCAGCTGGCTGGCGAGCGCCGGGGGACCCGCTGCACGGTGCCCTGGTGTGCCCTCTCGGAGCGATCTGCCCTGCGTAGCCCCAGCCCTGCCCCACACCAAAGCCCGAACCCCAAACCCAGCCCCAGTGTCCACCCAGACTGCACCCCGATGCCAGCCCTCGTCAGCCCCGTCTGCCCAAGGAGCCAGGCCCTCCTGAATGCCCGCCCGCCCGCCTCACCTCACAGGTACATCATGACGAGTGAGTTCACGCTGCGGCCCACCGCTGACTTCTTCAGGGAGCACGACTTCTTTCACCTGGACCCCGACAATGTGGTCATGTTTGAGCAGCGCATGCTGCCCGCTGTGACCTTCGATGGCAAGGCCATCCTGGAGCGGAAAGACAAGGTTGCCATGGCCCCAGGTATGCCCACCCCTGAGGCAGGGAGGGACCCCTGGCCTAGAACTAGGAGCCTGGAGAACTGGGACGGAGGCGGGAAGGTGCCGCCCGGAGGCTGTGTGGTCCTGGAAGAGGGACTTTCCCTGTCAGGACTTTGATTCCCATCTGTCATGTGGAACCACCACAGTGCTACGTGGCTAGGGAGAGAGCTGCTTCAGGCACAAGGTCCAGCCTGGAGGGGCCTCCCCTACCTCCAGCAGGCCAGGACTGGGTGGCGGAGGCCCACCCCTTCCTCCCTCCGCAGACGGCAACGGGGGCCTGTACCGCGCACTGGCGGACCACCACATTTTAGAGGACATGGGACGCCGAGGAGTGGAGTTTGTGCACGTGTACTGCGTGGACAACATCCTGGTGCGGCTGGCAGACCCCGTCTTCATCGGCTTCTGCGTGCTGCGAGGTGCGGACTGTGGCGCCAAGGTAAGCCCCGGGGACGTCCGCCGCCGTGCTGGGCCCTCCGGCCCCCGTGCCCCGCCCCACCCGGCCTTCCCAGCCCATCTGTCGCGGCTGCAGGTGGTGGAGAAGGCTTTCCCGGAGGAGCCCGTGGGCGTGGTGTGCCAGGTGGACGGTGTCCCCCAGGTGGTGGAGTATAGCGAGATCAGGCCCGAGACCGCGCGGCTGCGTGCAGCTGATGGGGGCCTGCTCTACAACGCAGGCAACATCTGCAACCATTTCTTCACACGAACCTTCCTCCAAGCCGTCACCAGGTGTGCGAAGCCGGTGGCCTAGTACCGGCCACAGTGACTGGAGGCTGACCTGAGCCGGGTGGGGCTGTGGTCAGGCGCCGGCAGGTGGGTTGGGTGTTCGTCTGCGTGTTGACAAGCAGAGGCACCGGCCGCTGGCGTAAGGCTCGTGTCCAGGTTGGCCTGCTGCTGCTGCTGCTGCTGCTGCTCTTGCAGCGGCCATGGACCACGGGCACCACCTCTGCCCTCGTTGACGCTGCGCCTGGGCAAGGATGTGGCTGATGGGGGGAGGGCAGATGCCTGTGCCTTCCCAGTCTCCACTGTTCTTGTGCCCTGTGGGGAGCATCTGCACCTGCCCCACCCGGCCCCCTGGGTGTCTTGTCTCATCTGCATCTTTCCTCCCCACCCCCAGGGAGTTCGAGCCCTTGTTGAAGCCACACGTGGCTGTGAAGAAGGTCCCATACGTGGACGAGGAGGGAAATCCGGTAAAGCCGCTAGAACCGAATGGGATAAAGATGGAGAAGTTTGTGTTTGATGTGTTCCAGTTTGCTGAGTTAGTGGCAGAAGTCATTTATTTTTTTCCTCCTTCCCTCTCCTGTTTTGGTGGTGGGTTTTGAGGCCCAGCGGGCTGAGTTGGGGGGGGTCACAGTGGGGATGCCCCTTCACAGTGGGGAGCTAGGGGGCTGCAGGCAAGTCTTGGGAAACAGCCCCCCTGAGGATGGGAGCATAGGGAACATCAGGGGCTGTGGGCTTTGGGGGGACACCTAGGCCCCTCCTGAGCCCTCCATCTGCTGTTCCCAGGCCATGTTGCGGGGGGGCTCCCAGGGTGGTTGGTGGGATGGGAGGACTTGAGGCAGCACTGGTATATCGGAGCGAAGACCCAGGGCGCTCGTGGAGCAGACCCAGCTCAGTCACTGCCACCTAGCGTGGCCTCCCTTTGCCCAGGGTCACCAGCTCTTTCTCCGCCAGGAACTTCGTGGCCTTTGAGGTGCTCCGGGAGGACGAGTTCTCCCCTCTGAAGAATGCCAACTCAGCCAACAAGGACAACCCCGCCACGGCCCGGCGAGCCCTGCTCACTCAGCACTACCGCTGGGCCCTGCAGGCGGGGGCCCACTTCCTGGACGAACATGGGGCCCGCCTCCCTGAGCTGCCCAGGTGGGTGCGGGCCCCAGGGTGCTGCCGGCTCTGCTGCTGTGAGCTGGGGTGGGGCTTCTGCACCGGTCCTGCACTGGGTGCAGGTGGCTGCGTGCCCAGCCTGGCCAGACACTGACCGCAGCTGCAGCCTTTGGTCCAACCCCTGAAGGTGCCCAGGACCCTGCAGCCTTCCGTGGTTCATTCCTAAGCTGTGAAACCAGGACCCAGGCAAGACAGTCAGAGCCAGGCATGTCGCTTTCCAGGGCCAGGAAAGAAAAAGACGTTAGGTTCCCATCTCTCTGGTTGTCTGCAGCCACCACCTAAATCTGGCAGCCCAGGCTCTGTGCCATATGCCTGTGGGAGGTGGGGGACGGTGGTGTCCAGCCCCGATCAGGGCCTGTTGTGCAGGCAGGGGCCGTTTGCTCAGGGCTCTGGGTGTCCAGAGCAGATGACTGAACAAAGGGCTGTGGGAAGCTGCATGTGTGGTGGTCAGCTTGCTGGACCAGGGAGGGGTCGGGCCAGCTCCCACGATTAGTAGTGCTAGGGGAGGGCCCTGGGGTCATACCCCTGAGCAGATGCTGACCCCTGGGCTCCCTCAGCCTGCCCGGCAGTGGAGAGCCTCCGGCCATCTGCGAGATCTCGCCGTTGGTGTCTTACTCTGGAGAGGTGAGAGCAGCCTGGCTGTCGGGCTTTGCTGGGATCAGGCCTGTGTTATCGGGGCCAGACGGTCTGGGGTGAGGGGTGCTTGGGCGGAACGGCAGTCTGCCTTGGTTCTCACTGGGGTCAACGGGGCCTCACGATGCAGAGAAACTTCCAGGGCATGGGTGGGCTGAGGCTGAAGCCCTAGCAGGTCCTAGGAGTGGGAGGGAGGACGAGCCAGCCCATCTCGGTCCCGCCGAGCCGACTCCTGTGCAGCCTTGCTGTGGAGGGGGTGCTGGCCCGTGTTCTCAAGGTGGCACTTTTTTCTGGAAGCCCCTTCCCAGCTCCAGGCAGAAATGGGACGCTGCCCTGGGGGCCAAGAGGTGGACACTTGGCTTGTTTGCAGGGTCTGGAGGCGTACCTGCGAGGCCAGGAGTTCCAGTCCCCGCTCATCCTGGACGAGAACTGGGTCCAGGCACTGCGGCCCTGACTGGCTCCCAGACCGGCCCACCGAGTCTGCATGGCAGGGAGGCAGCCCCCACCTGACGCTCTGGGGAGCAGAGCAGGGTGCTGGGCATCTCTGGGCTGGAGAGCACGGAAGGAAGAGGCTGGCTTAGTCCATGGGAGTGGGTCTGCTCCTGTCCCCGGTTCCCATGGACACAAGTGACCACAGGCATTCCATGGGCCATGGACTCTATGGCTCCAGTGGTGGCTGTGGGATCCAGGTGGGAGGCAGAGGGACTCTGGACCTTGGACAGTGGGGCTGAGAGGCGGCTGTGTGGTAGGACAGAGGTAAGTGTCCTGGACCAGAGCAGCAGGCCCTGTCTCTGAGCTGACAACACATGACAGGACAACAGGACAGCGGCTTCGGTCCCATACACAGATGCTGGGGTGAGGAGCAGCACTAGCCATGCCCAGTTTTCCTGCAGATGAGGAAACGAGAAGAGGGGGCAACGTCCTTCCATCACCGGTGACTTGTTTCCAGGGGCTGCCCCCTCCGTCCCTCCCCCCCTGGCAGCTGAACCAGCGACTGCGAGGAGGCTGGGGGCGTTGTCACGGCCAGTCTGCCCAGCTGAGGCCGAGAGTGGAAGGGACTGACTCAGGGAACGGGTTGGCTGTGCCAGGGAGGCTGGCTCAGCAGGCTGGGCTCGTGCCCGAGACTGTTCCCTGTGTCTCTCCGGGGCCTTGGCCCCTCAGTCACCTCTGCGGCTGGTTTGGGCTGCTTCCACTAAGAACTCAGACCAGAATAGGTGGTCTCCTGTGGTGGTGGATTAATCTGGAACTTCACCTGATGGGGAGCGCGCACCCTCACCCACCCTGCCAGTAGCTTCTGATCTTGGTGCTCGGGCTCCCCTGCTCTGGAGGGGCAGAGGTCGCTCTCTGCAGCCCGTCTCGTCCTGGCTTGGGGGCTCTGTATCCCAGGGCCTCCTTCCTCTCCCTGCCGACGTGTGCAGCTGGTAAGCCGGCCACCTGCTCCCTCCTCTCCTCTGCAACCCACGTCCTGCAGGGAATGCACTGGTTTCCCCCAGGGAAGGCCGTTAGCTGGATGGTGGGCTCAGGTGCAGCTGATGCGTGTAGTGGCTGAGTGGATGGCGGCTGCAGCCATGCATCCTGACCTGAGCAGGATGGCAGTCGGGGCCATGCCCAGGCCTCCCAGTGTTTTTGCAAACCTCAGAATCAAACCATGTGCCTAAGTACCCTCCTCTCAGCTGCCTGCAGGCAAGCAGGGGCCCAGGGCAGAGAAGGAGGGTCCTGCCAGAGCCACTCCCTGTCATGACGGGACCAACTTCACAGCCTCTTTCCTAAGCAGAGTCTGCTGGGTGAACTATTGAAAACAGCTCGCTTTTTAAAAAACTTATTTTCAAATAATTATACCTTAACATAAAGCTTCAAACAGCACAGAGGCCCTGGCTCCCTCTCACTGAATTTCTTGCGACGTTTGCCGCTTACGTGATTATGGGACACCGCCACACCAGGACACTGTGGTGCCGTCACTTCTCACAGGTGTGGGTCCCTTTGTCTGCACTGCACTTGGGAAGGACAGTCCAACCACCATAAAGGCTTCCCTCATGCTATCTTTAGAGCCACCCATCTTTTACCCCAGATAGCTAATGAAGTGTTCTGGAAGACTGCCAAATGCTTCGTTTCCACAGAAGCGGGGGGGTGATTGCCAATAAACTCCCGCTGACTGACCCCTGGCCCCTGGCCTGGCAAGTGCAGTCTGATCAGCATGTGTGGTGGGAACGGCGCTAGGTGTTCACAGCTGTGTCCATCGCGTGGCGGAGTCCACTGGGGGGGCCTCTGGAACGGAGCCCACACACTGATCTGGACTCTGCGCTGTGAGGAATCTCCTCGTGCTCGCTCTGCCAGCTCTTTATCAGGGTCACAGGAAGGGCCTGCGACAACCTAGTGGGTCAGGGGCTAGGAGGCCAGAACCTGCCCCTGGAACCAACTCTCCTGGGTGGTCCTCTGCACTCTTGACACCCTGGTGACTCGCCCCTGCACTTGCATCCTCCATACGCCACCGTTTCCTTGGCAGCCACTTGTGCAGGAAGAATCGCATGAAGGCGCCGCTGGAACTACCCGCAGACCTGTGTGGGAGACCCCTCCAGAGACCTGAGGTGGCCCCTAGAGGAGAAGGGGGACAGACGGGCAGCAGGCACTTCCTGGGGCGGCTCGGACGAGCCCGGTGCTGAGCTGGAGGCGCACACAGCGAGGTGCTCCCTGTCCTGGAAGGCACCGGGCAGGGCGCGGGCCGCTCTGCCGCTGAGGGACAGCACGCGCCCGGCAAAGTGCGGTGACCCTCGGTGCACCCGAAGGCCATCGGGTCCGGGGATGGAAGTTCCGCCAGCGGCCGTAGCCGCGACTCCGCCGCACGGGCAGGGTGTCGCCGTGACACTGAGGGGTCGAGGCGGCCGCCGTAACCCAGACCTCTGTCTTCTCGCCGGGCCCTGGCTCCCCTTTCCTTACCCCCGCCACGGTCCAAACGCAGGGGGGCGGGGGCTCCGTGACGACGTGGCGGAGCGGTCCTCACTGGACAGAGGACATGGGGGCTGCCGGCTGGGGACGCGGACAGGCTCAAAGATAAAGACCCCGTAGAGAGCGCGCCCGGAGAGCCAGCCAGGCCCACCCGCCGGCCGAGGCCGTACCACGCTCGGAC